CAACGACGACGGGCGACGACGAAGAGCGCGACGACGACGACAGCGGCGGCGACGACGAGAAAGACTACGACGACGACGACGAGCGAAGACGGGTGACGACGACACGACGACGACGACGACACGGGACGACGTCGAGCGACGAACGACGACGACACCGCGACGACGTCGAGCGACGACGACGACGACGACGACGACGAGCGACGACGACCTGAGCGACGACGACGAGCGACGACGAGCGACGACGACGACGACGACGACAACGACAACCACGACGAGCAACGACGACGAGCGACGACGACGACGAGCGACGACGGCGAGCGACGACGACGACGACGACGGCGGCGACGAGCGACGACGACGACGACGACGAGCGACGACGACGAGCGACGACGACGAGCGACGACGACGAGCGACGGCGACGACGAGCGACGCGTGACGACGACGAGCGACGACGACGACGACGAGCGGAGACGACGAGCGACGACGACGACGAGCGACGACGACGACGACGACGACGACGACGACGACGACGACAGCGGCGGCGGCGACGACGACGAGCGACGACGACGACGAGCGACGACGACGACGACGACGAGGGCCGCCTGGCTCGGCCCGCGCCGCGCCACGCCACCCACGGCCGGGCGCGTGCGTGCCCGGGGGGGGGGGGGGCCGAGCGCGGGCGGGCGGTCGCGCCGGAGACCCGCCCCCCCTTGTGGCGCAAGCGTGCCCGGCGGGCGACGACCGACGACGAGGACGACGACGAGGACGACGACGACGACGACGACGACGACGCCGAGGACGAGGACGAGGACGACGGCGAGGGAGGAGAAGAGGTGGAGCAGGAAAACAGCAGGTAGGAGGCAAGAGGTGGGAGACGGGAGTCAACAGCTGGGAGGCGGGAGGTGGGAGGTGGACGGCGGGAGGTGGGAGGCAGGAGGTAGGAGGAAGGAGGCAGGAGGCATGAGGTAGGAGGGAGGAGGTAGGAGGAAGGAGGAAGGATACGACGTGAACTTCAGGGGGGGGGAAAAGGAATTTGAACATGAACCTGGAATCGACAACGCGTCGTCGATAGCAGGAACGACAGGTTCCTGGGCACTGTGGAGCCTTACGGCCTATCAGCGATGGATTGGCGATCTTAGGTCGCTGCTCTCCCCCTGAGCCTGTCCCGAAGGAAGCGGGGAGGAAGAGAAAGAGGAGCAGGATGACGACGATGACAAGGAACACAAGCATGCGCAACAAGCACATAAGACGACGCGCCGGGTCAGGATTCGTGCCAGCAGGTGGGACAGTGGTCCAACCCAAGGCGACCGGGACACAAACAAGGCCAAACGGGTCACGCCGAAATTGCAAAAACACTGAAAGTAAACGAACAGCCCCAGACACTACACGGCAGAGTCCGCCACCAGGGGCCGACAGGGCGCGGGAACGGGATGCTTCATCGCGTCTTTGGGACGGCGCCCAGAAGCGAAACTGCATCGGAGCCACTCGCGCCGAGGACCTGTTGGCACCGAGTCGGGGTCACACTCGAGGAACAGCCGTAGCCGAACCGCGCCCCCTGTAGAAAAAACAGCGGGCGCAACCCGTCACCTCACCATCACGGGCGTCCAAGGCGGCCCCTCGCACAGGCGGGCGGCAAGACCACACACTCGGCGAGAATGCAACGGACCCAAGGCAGTTGACCTGCAGGGGCGATCCGGCGATCCGAACAGAAAGAGTGAGAGAGAGGGGGGGGAAAACAAACACCGAAAAACAGCAGCAACCAACACAACAACAAAACGAACAAAAACAACACACACTAAACACAATCCCCACACACACACGAAATAACAAAAACTTTGCGCAGCTGCGGCAGGCTGAGGGGCAACAATAGGGGGGATTGGCTCGGGCGGGGGAAGGGGGAATATCGACCATCGCCGATAGATCGGCGAGTGGAGCCTCACGTTCGTGGGCGTGTTGGGCTATCGAGCCACTCATCGGCGACGAGTGGGTGGTGGGGGGGTCAGTACGTTCCCCCCTGCGCCTGTCCCCTCCTATTGCCCCTGAGAAGGCCCCCCCCACACGCACTGCCCCCGCCCCCGCGCCGTGGGCGACTTTCCCCGCCAGAGCACGGCCCCTCCCCGCCGCTCCCCCGGCTGAGATCCGCTCGTCGCGGTCCGCCCCCAGACCCTCCCGGGCGCCCCCCCCAAGGACGAGAGTGATGCCATGATGCGATTGACTCAGGATGCGTTCCAGGAAGTCCGCAGCATCTGGTGGTCCCCGCTTCGGCTGCTCGTGTGGAACAGTCTGGGGAATCCGCCGACCCTGTCGGCGTGTGTGGGTGTGTGGGTGTCTGTCCGGTCCCGTGGACGGGGAGCCTTCTTTCGCCCCCTCCTTCCCAACCTCCTCTCCCGTCGGGGGAGAGAGAGAGAGAGAGAGAGAGAGAGAAAAAAAAAAAAAAAAAAAAAAAAAAAAGAGAGAGAGAGAGAAACGACAAAAAAACCTTCCTCGTTCGGGAAACGGGTTCGCAGCTTGAGTGAATTCCATCCACGTCCTCATTACGTCAAAGGGAAGCCCCTTCTCTTTGTCCCTTCCCCGGCTGGGGGGGGGATCCCGGGGGGCAGGGGGGGTCAGATTCGCATCGCCTCTGGGGGTCCTCCTCTCCCACGCCAGTCCTTCTCCAGCGCGCCAGTCATCCTCGGGTCCTCCTCCCCAGGTGGAAGGGAGTCCCAGGGGGGGATAGGGGAGTCAGATACGCATCCGTCCCTGGAGGTCCTCCTCCCCGTCCCCTCTCCTCTCCCACACGGGTCCTCCTCCACAGGGGGGGGTCCCAGGGGGGGTCCTTTTCCTCCTCGTTCTCCTCCTCCTCCTCCTCCTCCTCTTCTTCCTCCTTCTCCTCCTCCTCCTCCTCCTTTTCCTCCTCCTCCTCCTCCTCCTCCCCCACCTGGTCGTCGTCGATGACTTTCAGGGTCGGCGGCACCGGCCGTTCGGCCTTCACAATCATGGGAATCCTGGAACGAATCATCACAATCACCACCACCACCACCGCCGCCACCACCACCACCACCACCATCATCACCACCACCACCACCACCACCACCACCACCATCATCATCATCATCATCATCAACAGCAGCAACATCATCATCAGCATCCTCATCATCAGCAGCATCACCATCATGATCATCATCATCATCACCACCAGCAGCAGCATCATCAACACCACCACCACCACAATAATCATCATCATCATCATCATCATCAGCATCATCATCACCATAATCATCATCATCATCATCATCATCATCATCATCATCATCATCATCATCATCATCATCCTCATCGTCAGCATCATCATCACAGTCAGCATCATCATCATCATCCTCACCATCCTCATCATCCTCATCGTCATCATCAGCAGCAGCATCATCACCATCATCATCAGCATCATCATCAGAATCACCATCAGCATCATCACCATCATCATCACCATCAGCACAATCACCATCATCACCACCACCACCATCATCATCATCATCAGCAGCAGCATCATCATCAGCACCATCATCATAATCAGCATCATCATCATCATCATCATCATCATCATCATCATCATCATCATAATCATCATCATCACCATAGGCATCATCATCGGCATCCTCACCATCATCATCATCATCACCCTAATCAGCATCATCATGATGATCATAATCAGCATCAGCAGCATTACCATAATAATCATCATCATAATTATCACCATCATCGTCATCATCATCATTGTCACCATCATCATCAGCAGCATCATGATCATCATCATCAGCAGCAGCATCATCATCATCATTATCACCACCATTATCCTCATAATCATCAGCATCATCATAAACATCATCGTGATCAGTATCAGCATCGACATCATCAGCATCATCATCATCATCATCATCATCAGCATCAGCACCATCATCATCATCCCGATCGTCACCACCATCATCATCATCATCACCATGACCATCATCATCACCATCACCATCACCATCATCGTCGTCATCATGAGCAGCATCATCATCAGCAGCATTAACATCACGATATCATCATCATCATCATCATCATCATCATCATCATCATCATCATCATCATCATCATCATCATCATCATCATCATCATCATCATCGTCATCGTCATCGTCATCGTCATCATCATCATAGTAAGCATTACCATCGTCAGCATCGTCATCACCACCATCATCGCGATTAGCATCAGCACCAGCATCAGCATAATCACCATCGTCATCGGCATCGGCATAAGCATGGGCATCATCTTCTTCCTCCTCCTCATCATCGTCATCATCATCCTCATCATTATCACCATCAGCAGCACCATCATCATCGTCATCATCACCATTAGTATCACCATCATCACCATAACCATCACCATCACCATCACCATCATCGTCGTCGTCATCATCATCACCATCATCACCATCATCATGATCAGCATCATCAGCATCTTCATCTTCATCATCAGTATCATCATCGTCGTCATCATCATCGACATCGTCCTCGTCCTCCTCCTCATCATCCCCAGCATCATCAGCATCATCATGTTCATCATCATCCTCGTCATCATCATCGCCATCATTGTCATTATCAGCAGCATCATCATCCTAATCATCCTCATGGTCATGATTAACATCATCAGCATCATCATTATCATCGTCATCAGCATCAGCATCAACATCGTCGTCACCGTGGTGACCATTGCCGAAGGGCACCTTGAGCCGAACCCGGGGCCGCGGCGACGAAGGCCAGACCCTCCCCCCCACCGCCCCTCTGGGCCGAGAGGCAGAGTCATCATCATCATCATCATCATCATCATCAGCAGCAGCAGCATCATCGTCACCACCACCATCATCACTATCAGCATCATCATCATCCTCATCATCCTCATCATCCTCATCATCCTCATCATCCTCATCATCCTCGTCGTCGTCGTAGTGACCCCTTGCCCCTCTTACTCCCGAAGAGTACCGCAAGCCGACCCTGGGCCGCGGCGACGAAGGCCTGACCCCGCCCCTCTGGGCCGAGAGGCAGAGTCCAATACGTCCTGCGCTCCGACTGTCTCTACGCGTGGACCCACGGAGCAGACGATAGCGTAAGCATAAATATTTCTGGGGGAACAGGCGATAGCAGAAGCATAAAAACTCGGCGGTGCGCGTGGATTCCCCCTGGCGGCGCCTCTGGCGCCGCCCCTGGCGCGCTCCGCGCGCCAGGGAGTGGGATCCGGCGCAGATCCGAGATACCCGCGCGGACCGCCGAGTTGTATGCTTAAGTCATCGTTTGTGCCCCGAACTTCCCTGGGCCCGCTCTTCATCCTAAGTCGTTTCTTGAAGGTCCTGGGGCCCGTCGAGGCCCCCAGAGGCCTTCCATAGCCTAAAACCAGTCGCTCCAATCATCCCCGGAGCCTCGAATCTCAGGGGCGAGAGAAGCGGCACGGGGGCTCCCAGGCAGGGAGGCAGCGGCACGGGGCTGCTCCGCCGCACCCGGCGGGCAGGCGCCCCGCCCCCGCCAGCGGCGACCGCGATCAGCCCAGAGCTCGCCCCGCGGCCCTCTCCGCGCCTGCCGCGCGACAGGCAGCTGCGCCGCCGCCGAGGCCGCAGCGGCGGCCTCGGTGGCCACTGCGGCGCGGCACCTGCCGCGCGAAAGGTGCGGCAAGCGCAGGGCGGAGGGGGAGGCGGCCCCGCCATCCCCACGCACGTCGGGTCCAAGGGCTGCCTGGCGCGCCAGGCCTCGGGAGCACCTGGAGCTCAGGCCCAAGACACCCGATGCCTTGGCTTCTTGTTCCCCGCGCGGGGCCCCCAGAGGTCCCGAAGAGCCCTCCGTCGTGAACGCTGCCAGACGCCAGCCTGTCTGGGGGCCGGCCGCCCCACGGCGGCACTCCCCCCGCACGAGCTGCTCGCCGCCTCGGGCGGCCCTCCTCGAGCCCCAAGCTGGCCCTGCTCGAGCCCGCGCTGCAGGCCTCGCCCTCCTGAGCGGCCCCTCAACACCGAAGCAGCAAGACAAAAGCAGAGAGCCCGAGAGCCTCGGCGAAGGGGGCGCAGCTGCCCGACGCTCCCGGGATCCCTGGCCCCACCCGCCCCTGAGAGCCGACGTGGCCGAACATGCAACATCGCAGAGAATCACCGGCGGAGCCCCGGGACCCCAGCCTTCTGCGGCATGTCCCGCCCCGGATCGATCTGTGAGGGCCCCGGGGCCGCAACGGGGCGAGAAAACGCCCGTGGCGAAAAAGTGGCGACGACAGGATCTCCGAGGCCCCCGAGGGGAGAGAGCCAGGATGCTGCCGCGTCGCGCCAGCGGTGGCACCGGCGACTGCGCCCCGGCGAGTCACGGAGCGGCCCGCGGCCACCCTGCGCGCGCGCGGGGAGCGGGCGCGGCTCACGTCGAGAGGTGCCGGGGCGGCTCGGGCCCCTCGGACTCCACGAGCGGAGAGGCGGGCTGCGCTCTCCTGCGGGGGCCGCAGGCTTCCGCTCGGGGAGGCACGTCCCGGAGAGGTGTGGTGAAGGAGGTCCGACGCGACTTGGAGCAAAGCCTTGGAGTCCGAGAGGTGCCAGGATGCTCGGGTTATGTGCTGATGAGGTCGTGAGAGCTTCTCCAACCTATCAGCAGGGGGGCAATCGAAAACAAGTGCCCCAGTTAGCCGAGCCAGCCAGCCTTAACCAACCGAACCAACCCAACCAGCCGACCCGCCAACCAGCCCACCACCACCAACCACACCAACCCGCCTGCCCTCCGTCACCGATAGGGGCAGAGAGGCGCCTCCTGCGGGGGGGGAACCACCCTCCCCAGGCCCGGCACGACAGCGGAAGGAGGCTAAATCGCACAGTGGCATGGGGGCCGGGCTTCGCGCCAGGGGGCGCTAAGCACGGCTTGGCCTCTCAGTTGCGACGCCGCTGTCGTTTTCTCACTCACTGCGGCCGCTTCTCAACGGAAAGACTCCGATCCTCGAAACCGTCGCCACTTTTTCCCGACTAGCGTTTCGCTAGGAGGTTCTACTTCCCAAACAGTACTTACACTTAGGGGCTCTTACTTGCGTTTCTCGGGAATCCCACCTGCCCTCTGGGCGTAGGTAGTCTCACGACGATTCTCTTGTCACTTCCCAAACCCTCTGCCCTTCGGGGAAGGGTGCCCTCCCCCTCCCCTTCCTCAGGTTGTTGTTAAGGGTTCCACGAGGTGTCAGAGGGCACTTTTTCGCCCAAGATGGCTCCAAGGGGCCTCTGATGTTCCAAGATGGCCTCCAAAATGGCTCAAGATAGCCGACGATGGCTCTCAATATGGCTTCCACCACGCTCCAAGAGGCCCCAAAGACCGCTCCAATACGGCCTCAAGTACTCTCGGAGCCCGTCCGTCTTGGGGACCTCTTGGGAGCCTCTTGGGCAGTCCCGTGGCGACCTGGGAAATCTCTGGAGGGCGTCGTGGGGGTGATTCGGGGCTGTCTGTGGCCTCCGTCCCAGACATCCGGCGTCTCGAGTTCTTCGAGACACAGGCCCCCGACATCTCGACCGCTTCCTCCAGGACCGGTTTTTCATCCTGAATCCTTTTTTGACGGTCCCGAGGCCCAGCAAGGGCCCACAGAGACCGAAGACTGCGCAAAAACTCCGTCTCGATTTTTCCGAGACGCCCGAGGTCTGGGGCAACGGCTGTCTGATGGCTCCCAGAAGCGGGGTTCCCCCCCCGTCGCGGTCGGGATTGCGGCCCGGAGGCCCCCCCGGTCCTGGTCCCCCGACGTATGTATAAGAGGCCCGACGAGGGCCACACGACGGTTCCAAGTGCTCTCGGAGCCCCCATCTGACCCCCCTAAGAAGCCCCAATCCTTCCAAAACCACCAGAACAGCCACGATCTGTTACTTCTCGCCATTTCGCTTCCGATGCGTTTTTGAAGTCTCAAGATGGCCCAAGGAGAGGCCCCAAAGAGGGGTCCGAGAGGCACCCCGGACGGCCCAAAGAGCGCCCCAGAGCTGCCCAAGAGCGGCCCCAAGAGGGCCCCAAGAGGCGATGCTGATGGCCCCAGGTGGAGGGCCAAACGTTACCCCCTCTCTTTTCACCGACGCCCTCCGCGACAGCCCCAAGAGGCCATCCAGGGCTCCCAACCAAGCTCCCCAAGAGAGCTCCAAGACGGCCCCCAGAGGGCTCCAAGACCCCCAAAGAGCCCCAAGAGGAGCCCTAGATCTCCCGAACGAATCGCAAGAGGGATCGAATATGCGATTTTGAGGGCTCTGTCCTCGTCCTCGTTGTCCGCCTCCTCCTTCTCCTCGTCCTCGTACTCGTCCTTGCCCTCATCGTTTTCCTTTTCCTTTTCCTCATCTTCCTCGTCGTGGTCGTCGTCATCTTCCTCCTCCTCCTCCTCCTCCTCCTCCTCCTCCTCCTCCTCCCGCGGGCTCCAGGCACGGGCCGAAGAGGGCCTCCAAGGTGCCCCCTTGCTCCCAGAGATCTCTCTGTTCACCTGGGCTGCCCGCTTTGTTTCACTCCATGTGTCCTTTCGTCCCTTTTCCCGTCAACTCTCATGGGCAGCATTTCCGAATGGGCTGGTGGGGATACTTTTTGGTCGAGGCCGCAAGCGAAGGCGCAGGCGGCGTCAAAGGTCGACCCGGGCTAAGGGCGGAGCCGAATTACCCAGCGAGCAGCTGGTGGGGATACTTTTTTGGTCGCGGCCACGAGACGACGGTCAGGCGGCGAAGGCAACGTCCGGGCCACGGGCGAGGCTAATTGCAAAGCAGAGGCGCCGGCCGGCCCACTCAGACGGCGGCTGCAGGCTGGGTGACGCTGAACTGGCTGGCGTACTGCTGGTGGGGATACGCGAAGCGTGAAGAGTTGGAACTGCACATCGCACACAGAGCGTAGAAAACGTAGAGAGTGCAGAGAAATAGAAATTGTACAAGTCGCCCGCTCTCGTGTAGATAATGTGAAGAGCGTCGAGAATGCAAGGTGTTTGGAGAGCATGGAAACTATTGACAGCTTCGACATTGTCGAGGGTACAGGGCGCAGGGGTCTCTCCTCCGAGGCCGCTAGCGTCGTCGCGCATACATCAAAGAGCCACTCACTGATCGGTCGTTCTCCTTGTAGTGCTCGCTCTCCTAGCCTCCACGTCGCCGACAGAGCAATCCAGGACATGATCACACATCCCCATGCACGGCTGTCGGCGGACTGGCGCTGGCCTCTAAAATAAGTCTTCCGATGGCACAATATACGATACTTTACTTCCGACGCACCCGATCGCCACGAAGCGTCACTTGCGGAGCCCTGATACCCCGCACGCTCAGAAGCGCTGCATGTTGAAAACGGCAAGTTGGCACAGGGCGCACTTTCTGATTCAACGGTGTTCCCGCCAGCTGTGAGGCTTGCGCCCAGCACATGACAAAGGATCGTAGCATATTGACTCTGAACTCCAATGACCAGGCCGGATGCGATGCGCTGCATTCGGAAGTATCGCAACCCGTACAAAGGATATTGGAGATCCAATGTGCAGCACCTTCATGGGGTCTGCACCCTGAACCTCGCAAACCGTCCCAAAACACTATTTCCGTAGCTCTGATGGCCAGGGGACAGAAGGTATATTAATCCAGAAACGATGAGCATGGCAGCATGCAGGATTGATGTTGCCAGGCCCACACATTCATCGGCCGCTACTGCACATCACCCTAGACCACTGCTCAGGAAAATTCCTTGCCCATGGCCCGAGCGAGCGCTGGACTCTGAAGGTAGCAGCTACCATGACCCCCAAACGGAACGCCAGCCTTCCTTCCACCCCGCACGCACGATGGGCGGGCACCCCGTTGTCCAGCACAATACCATAGCCCTCTGGGCAAGCCTTGTTAGGCAACACGCGCAAGGACCAACAGCCAGACAGTTTGACTGCGACTTGCTCGGCCCGCGCAAAATCGCCAAGAAGGAGCAGCGGCCCGGCGGCCAGTCGCCGAGTCCTGGCCAGCAGCAGATTGCGCTCGTCCGAGCCGCGCAGCGACAGGTCGTCGTCGCGCGGCTCGCGGTGCAGGGTGCGGACCAGCACGTACGTCTTCCAGGGCCTGGGCTGCGGTGGACATAAGGAGGGGACGCGCACAGGTTCTCGAAAGACGATGCGAGGGGCGTGGGAGGGGCAGGTAACGTGGGCAGAGGGCACCAGCAAGAAGCAGTGCGGGGGACAAGGGTGCAAGGGTCAATGGCAGGATCAGCTCGTCTGAATGAATACCTTGAGCTTGACTGGAGGCAGCCGCGGTGGGTGGCAAAACGAGCAGCTGGCCACCAAAGAAAGGGAGCCGGCTCGGGCAACGGGATGCTCTGGATGCCACGATCTGCCCATTGGAATACGTAGGCCCGTCACCTCGTAAGCTGGTTGCAAGCTTGAGCTTGAAAGTCGAGTCACGAGCGGTAGCAAGCCTAGCCTGAAATCAGAAGCAGCGCATCTGCTTACCGCGGGGGGGTCCATCCAGGGGGCAGCGGATAGAATCCACAGCCATCGGATAAGAAACAAAGCCTATGTTCGCAAATTTGCTGGGAGGCATATAGAGCAGGACGAGTACGATAGGTGTCGCAATCGTCCACCAGACAAATGTTCGACATTGTGGTCCGCCTACGGCATGCACTTCCCACCCAGATGGAGCTCCCTCACCAAAAGCACCCAAAAATGCCTGCCAGCGTGAGATCTAAGCAGAGAGCTAAAGGAAAAAGATTTATGCACCTACACCGAACCTGGCCAGGCCCATCCTGAGCCCAGGATCGGTGCATACGCCCTCCTACCTTGGCTAGGAAGGTATATGCACCGATCCCGGGTCAAGGATGGGCCTTGCCAGGATCGGTGCATGTGCATAGTTCCCTTCGCCCGAAGAGTTGCAGGAGTCCGGGTTGCAGTCCATCAGGCGCAGCGTACGTGGTGAAGCCAGAATAGTAGGAGTAGACGTGGTAATAGTACGACTAGAAGTCGTCGTAATGACAGCAGTAGTAGTAGTAGTAGTAGTAGTAGTAGTAGTAGTAGTAGTAGTAGTAGTAGTAGTAGTAGTAGTAGTAGTAGTAGTAATAGTAGTAGTAGTGGTAGTAATAGAACTAGTAGTAGTAGTAGTAGTAGTAGTAGTAGTAGTAGTAGTAGTAGTAGTAGTAGTAGTAGTAGTAGTAGTAGTAGTAGTAGTAGTAGTAGTAGTAGTAGTAGTAGTAGTAGTAGTAGTAGTAGTAGTAGTAGTAGTAGTAGTAGTAGTAGTAGTAGTAGTAGTAGTCGTAGTAGTAGTAGTAGTAGTAGTAGTAGTAGTAGTAGTAGTAGTAGTAGTAGTAGTAGTAGCAGTACGTAGTACTACTACTAGTACTAGTACGAGAAGTACTAGTACTAGTAGTAGTAGTAGTAGTAGTGTAGTAGTAGTACTAGTAGTAGTAGTAGTAGTAGTAGTAGTAGTAGTAGTAGTAGTAGTAGTAGTAGTAGTAGTAGTAGTAGTAGTAGTAGTAGTAGTAGTAGTAGTAGTAGTAGTAGTAGTAGTAGTAGTAGTAGTAGTAGTAGTAGTAGTAGTAGTAGTAGTAGTAGTAGTAGTAGTAGTAGTAGTAGTAGTAGTAGTAGTAGTAGTAGTAGTAGTAGTAGTAGTAGTGGCAGTCGTAGTGGCTGCGGTAGCAACAATAGCGACTGTAGTAGCACTAGTAGTGGCAGTTGCAGTGGCACTACCAGTGGCAGCGGCAGGGTGTCGCAATAATACGAAGCGAAGTGGATGTAGCGATGGCGGTGTGGTAGTGGTAGCAGTAGTGGTAGCGGTAGCGGTAGTGGTAGTGGTAGCACTAGTGGTAGTGGTAATGGTAGTGGTAGTGGTAGTGGTAGTGGTAGTGGTAGCGGTAGTGGTAGCGGTAGTGGTAGTGGTAATGGTAGTGGTACTGGTAGTGGTAATGGTAGTGGTAGTGGTAGTGGCACTGGTAATAATATTGTTGCTGGTCTGAGTGGTAGGGATAGTGGTACGGTAGCGGGCGAAAGTTGCCCAGGAGATGCAAACAGATACAAATTCCAAGATTCCCAAGACTTTTCCATATTTCCGGGATTGTTGTCCTCCACTCCATTTTCCGCATTTCCCATAGATTCCTGGGATCGGCTTTAATTTGCGTCTGTGACGATTGTGCCTTCCTGACTGTCGCCCGCCTGGGTGCGGTGGCGGATTTGCACGGCAGCGGAACTAGATACCGCTACAGCGCACGAGCCAAGAACACCTATCGAATATAGGCCCCCGTGCAGCTCAAAGCAAAGCCACCGCGTTGCATACGTGAGGCGAAACCGATTCGGTGATAGCGAACACGTGCACTTTGAGCAACTGCAGGCCTAAAATCCGCATACCATGCAACTCGAACTCCAATCAAACAGGGACCAGACATGAATGAACCATAACCCAAACGGCAATATGGGGGGCACTGCAAATCGAACCTGCGTGGCTGGCGGATCCAGCTCGGAACAAATCCAGGCGCAGATAGAGTGCAGGCCGGATGCAATTCGAATGCGTGATAAGTTTGAACCACATTCTCGCCAAACGTGAATCAAATTTGAAGCATCCCGAGCCGCAACCGGGGGGACGTCAAGCTAGGTGCACTCGCGTAATATCTGACGTCAAACCCCTCCCTCCCATCCCTTACTATGGCGTAGATATCTTCTCTGTTCGCGCAGTCGGATGTCGAGCAGGGCAATGATCGCGAGAGGGTACGCGATGCATGGTGGAGCACGGCATGGCATGGCGCAGAAGAGCACGGCAGAGCGTAGCATGCCATAGCATGGCGTGGCATTGCGCAGTGAAGCATTGCATTAGAAAGCATTGCAATGCAAAGCACGGCATCGCACAGCGGCGCAGAACACAACACCGCAAGGCATGTCATGGCATGGCGCTGGGTTACTTGGAGGATAAATGGATCGTCTTCGAGAGGCCTGGGCCGGTCTGGAATCGTGACTCCATGTCTAGCTCCTTGGGCTCCCCGAAAAGCTCCACACAAGGCAGGGCTGATGGAGAACACCCTCTGGCTCTGCTTCCAACATCGCCTTCTCTAAGCAGAACGGGGGTTCCCGTTTGATACTTCCTGAAAGCGACGACGCCCCAAAGTGGGGGGCTCCTGCGGCACAAAAAATCAACGAATCGACACCGAATGTGTAATCACTTCCGATGGTGTTTTGGGGAGGCCATTTGCTAGATTTTGGGACCTACTTGGAAGGACCGAAAACGCCCGCGCTGCAGCGGAAGCACGATTTGGAACAACCAGAGACGCAGAAATGGGGCCAGCGCGTCAGCGGGAGCAACATTTTGAAGGAAACAAAACAAACCTAGCGAAAACCCATTTCCCGGGAATCTTGTGTAAAAAACCGTACGCGGAGGGGGGCCGGACATCTTGAAGACGTCATCAGGGGAGAGGGAGAATAGTATTCACATTGTGTAGTCGTTAAGGTGGCCGAGGCTGTGAGCGAGTGCCCATGGCCACCTGGGATCATGCAGCGAACTTGTCACGCTCCTGCTCCGTGTCTGGTGGCGGGGTGAAGCGTCCCCTTGCGGTATCACAGAGGTGTCTTTCCGTCGTGTCCACTTCGCAGTGTCACTCCCGTCAGATATCTGCTCTTCCGCCGCAGCCCGACTGGACAAGCGTCCGATATTCTCGTGCGACGGCTGTGGAATCCCCCCATCCCCAACTCTGTTTATCGACCACAAGCTGATCTGTGCGTTGTATTACGTTGCATTGCTTTGCACTGCTTTGCATCGCTTTGTATTGCGTTGCATTACTTTACAATGCTTTGCATTGCTTCGCTTTGCATTGCTTTGCATGGTTTTGTATTGCCTTGCACTGATTCGAATTGCTTTTCATTTCTTTGCTATCGATTCTCCTTTCTAAAAAACAATAGGTTCTACCACCCTCCCCCCCAGGGTTGAAAAATGCCCTGGGAACCGATGCAAAACAGAAAGGATTCTGACCCAATGTCCACCCGACCTGTGAATTCATTTAATCCCAGCCAAACCGGTATCGACCCCCCACGCCATCCTCTGCAAAAAAACTATGCGCGCACACTCGTTTGTCAACAATTATAAGTGTTAATTTGACCAAGTGCACACGCGCGCGTCTTCGCGCGCGCACGCCGAAATCCTTCAAAAAACGTTGGCTTCGGAAGGATTTCAAGATCGAGACTGATTCCCTAAAAAAGATTACGCGCGCTATTGCGAAACCTTGAGAACAACCTTAGGTGTTTCAAGATGTTCGAAAAATACTATCAAACGGGCTTCGCGAGCGCGCATGTCGAAATCTTTCGAACGCCCTTGCGCGCGTGCCGTCGCGAGAATCCTTTGCAAAGAAATGACGAAGTGCACGCTCGCACATCGTCGCGCGCGCATGCTGAAATCCTTCAAGAACCTTCGGATTCGGAAAGATTTCAAAATCGAGTGTCCAAAAAACATACAAAAACACGGGGTTTCGCAACACGGATTTTCAACAAAAGCGTGCGCGCGCACTCTTGCGTCGTCATCGTCGTCGTCGTCGCCGTCCTCCCTCCTCCCTCGTCGTCGTCGTCGTCGTCGCCGTCGTCGTCCTCTGTCTTTCCTCGTCGTCGTCGCCGTCCTCTTTGGCGTCGTCGTCGTTTCCGTCGTCGTTGTCGCCGTGGTCGTCCTTCCTCCTCCCTCGTCGTCGTCGTCCGTCGTCGGCGTCTAGTCGTCGTCCCTCCAATTTCGTCGCCGTCGACGTCGTCGTCGTCTTCCCTCCTCCCTCGTCGTCAGCGTCGTCGGCGTCGCCGTCCTCCCTCATTCTTCGTCGTTCGCGTCGTCGCCGTCCTCCCTCCTCCCTCGCCGTTGTCGTCGTTGTCGCCGTTGTCGTCCTCCCTCCTCCCTCGTTGTCGTCGTCGTCTTCGTTGGCGACGGCGTCGTCGTCGTCGTCGTCGTCGTCGTCGGCGTCGGCGTCGTCGTCGGCGTCGTCGTCGTTGGCATTGTCATCATCGTCGCCGTCGTCGTCGGCGTCGTCGTCGTCGTCTTCCCTCCTCCCTCGTCATTGTCGTCGTCGGCGTCGCCGTCCTCCCTCATTCTTCGTCGTTCGCGTCGTCACCGTCCTC